GCTGTCTCTCATATGACAACTCAAATGGTGAGAAATCCAGGAAGGACTGTGGGATCTCTTGGACTGTAAACAATAAGTACAGTTGCATAGTAACCCAATTTCGGGTTTGGTAGTCACTGTTTTTGAAGCATTCCCTCCAGTGTCTGTTAAAGTGTTCTACTAACTAGTCTATCTGCAGGTTGCACACAGGTTCTTACCTATCATATATTAAGGAGGGCATATACCTCCTGGATTAGCAGGGCCATGAATGCAGTGCCCCAATCTATTAAAATCACCATCAGCATTCCTAATCAGGAAAATACTCTAAGTAATTCATTAGCTATCTCCTGTGCCGATGCCAAGTAAAAGGGGACAGCTTCCAGCTATCAAGTGGCATAACACACAATTACTAGGATAAACTGACAACCACTCAAACTTGTCTCTAGAGGTTCCGCCAGGTCCACCTCAATCCTTGGAGCACCTACCAGCAGGAGAAGGACTACAATGAGTCTTATAGGCAAGCCTAAATACCACCAACTGGCACTCAGAGCAGGAAATGCAATAGTCCTTTACCTCTTGGTAGACTACCGGCCAAAAGAATTAGTCTGGCGCCCCTCTTTGAGTCTGCTCTACTCCTAAATGGCCTCACCCCGGCTCATATGGACTAGATTCAATACCTATCTCTGGTACAGTTTGGGAACAATAAGCTGAGGTCAGCATCTTCCCCTCTGGGTATCCCAGACAACCCTTACCAGGATGTCCCACTGAAGCTCAAACTAGGGATACTGAAATCCTGGAAAGGGTCAGCCAGTGCCCCATTCACCCTAGCCAGTCATCTATAGAGCCAACAGAACAGGGCATCATCCTGGCTTTGAATAAAATTGGACCTACTAGGTATGGTCACAGCATCTATCTCAGGATGGAGGTCGCTGTGGGATCCAGATTACATTGCACCACTGTGCTTTATCTAGCTCTTTTCCTTGGGGTTTCCTGGTTGCCCAGAACCTCTCCCCTGGCATCATGAGGTGTCCTTTTAGACATAGGCCACTCACAAAAGTTTGGGATCAGAGAAGGAAAAGTCCCCCTCTGGCCAATTCTCCCTCTGGGTTGTGATGCTTGGCTTTGCCTCTCTGCGTCCCTTAAGAGACTGGATATGGGGCCACAATCACTGCCTAGCACCACTGAGTAAGACAAATGTTTAGCCACAGCTACTATCATTTCAGTGTTCCAACCTACCCACCAGCAACTAAATCCTCGTCATGGGATAGGGTCAAATGTCCTCCTGGATACAGTCAATGTATAACCATTTTCCTATCACCTTGCAAATTCTCCAGGGATATTAGTGTTCCTCCACAAATATCTGTCCCAAGCCTGAATCCACCAGCCCTGACACCTGTGTTCCATTTACAACAACAGAAACCACTTACCTTCTGATCCAAAGGGTCCCTTGAGGGTCTCAGATATATGTGCTTATTCTAAAGCCTACTTCATATTGGGCCAAACCCAGTCCAAATGGCCTTCCTGCCCCCAGAAGCAAATCAGGGGACTCGATACTGGGATTGCGAAGACCCTCTTTTCTTTAGTCAGGGACCCACTCACCTCAAGTCCATCTTTTCTAGGAACAAGGTCTGATGAATTGGGAATGTGGTTGTACAATTTAAAAATTCTGGTTGATAGTGTAGTTGTATTTTATGAAAACCATAAGTTGTATCATGAGTGCCCATATGTATGTGGATCCACCACTGCTGACAGGGCTTGTAGCAGATACAAACCAGACAGAGACAATGCAAGCATTAATGTATTACACACTTTGCACAGAGGCTGTTATATGCCCCTGAGAGAGTTGAACCTTAAGCAGAAGCTTCACACCTTTGGGTAGAGTTCTGGGAGAGGGTGCATTTAAGTAGTTAGGGTATTTCAGGAGTCTGTGCTGCCCATTCCTTAAGTCCCCTGATGAGTCACGTGAAAGGCAGGTAGCCATTAACTTTTATTTTTAAAGAATGAGGTTATCTACTTCTTGGGATAGCTCAGAAATGCAGAGGATCAAAGTACTGAGTGGGGAGAGTACGAAGACTGAAAGAGTGGAAGTACATGGGAAAGAGGACATAAACAAAGGAAGTGGGAAACCAACAAATTATGTGCAATACATTATTCCTGACCTAATGGAATACATCAGAATGCAGAACACTAAAAGCAGAGATGAGTATTTTGTCTATGAAGTCCCATGTACATCCATGCTGCTATTTGAATAACAATACTTTATTTTACTCACTTTACACTCTGGAAGCTTAATTTCTTTTGGTTTCTAACTTTTATTAATAAGATGACAGAACGACATGACATACAGACAACAGATATGATTACAGATTCTCCATCCCCATCCTTTAAGAGAGGATATGGAGTAAATAGTGTAGAAAATATAACTTTATTTTGTAGTTAGTGGTAGTTTGAAGGTTGAACTGTAACTCTCAAAAGGGCAAAAAAGAAGAGAAAAGGATAGACCGGGCAGAATTAGAAAGGTGCTCAATGTTTTGTACATGTCATAATTAATATATTTTAAACTAGATTTGAGCATTCCAAATAATCAAGAGCAAGCTTGCCAAATGTCATAACTGGCCCTAATGCTGAGCCATATGAGAGAGTAACCTACAGGGCATTTGAGAGGATCATGCTCTATTCTATACCATAATGAAGGAGGTCTTTCCAACACCCAAGGAAAACTCCCCACCCCTCTTTCAGAAAATTCTCTACCTTCTTTTTGTGCCCATTGCCTTCTCTGCTTGTTATTTTGAAAATTAATATTTGATGGCTTATACACATCACTGCATATTTTATTTATAATAAAAATCATAAGATAGGAGATACAGCATCAGTTTGCAGTTCTTCAACTCCCTGCGGCATATTGTCATGAAAACAAAGATACCAAAAATAAATGGAGTGGGTGAATATGATTTGAAGGAAACACAATAGTTATTAGAATTTTTAATAGGGTTAGAAAAATGGAGGTGGTACAGGCCTATTCGCACCTCACTGGCATGATAGCCTCCTTAATATAGACCATTAATGGACTAGGATGCCACGAATCATTCAACAATAACATCTTTGCCCTTTTAAAGAACAGTAGCTCTGGCTACTTCCAACTGGAATATCAGCAGCATTCGGTCGGAACCAGAAGGATGGGAGCTCTCAGTAGATAATGTAAAGCAAGAGAAAATGAAAAGTACATTTAAAGTAATATATTAAATAAAATAACTCTACAATACATTTTTTTAAATGTTATGGATTCACAAATTCAGCAACTGTTAAGTAAGCTCTTGAAATTTTAAATCCACTTGTGCCCCTCTAAAATCCAGTCTCCTTGCTTACACAGTCTGGCTTTCCCTCCACCTCGAGAGAAAGAAGGGACTTCTGGGAAATTGTTTCCAGAGTGACAACAGGCTTTTTAATACAGCATTTTATCATTTTTTTGTTTTTAAAGTAAAATTCAGTTTCTTTGTGCAGTGTTGGATTGATGGTCCTAGAAAATGAAGGCTAAACCAGATTATCATATTTAATCTCCTAAAACACTATGGCTAGGGTATAAAAAAAGAGCCTAAAGGAGGGGAGTTAGATGACCAAATCCCCTGAATTTCAATGAAACTCAAATGCCTAACCCCCTTAGGTGACCTAAAGACAGGCTTTATGTCCCATTACCAAATGCCCTCACTCCTCCAATCCAGTGCCAGTGTAACAGAAGACGTTCCCAGATTGTGGTTCATGGAGCACTTGTACTTTCCAAAGAGCTGGTTAGTCAGGTTTCCTCCTCCTTCCAGCTACTAAATCTCATTAAAATGCAACTATAGTACATTAAACGTTGTCCTAACATCACTTTGCCATGGAAGCAATAGCTGCCACAAGGATATTAGGAATCACAAAAGGTGGGGGGAGTGGGTAAAGTGGTTTGCAATATTATCGGAAGGGAGCTGTCCATGAGACAATCTCTCTAAAAGATTTACACGATGAAAAGGTCTGAGAACCCCTAGTATAAAGGAAATGCAAGAGCTCCCATGGGGGTGGGGGGGGAGGGCAGTTTCTTAAGTTCTCATTGTCAAAGGCATTCTGGGGCAAAAACTCTTACTCCCCTCCACATAAGGCAAGGATATTACCATGCTCACCCCACTCCCCTCCAAGAGGCCCCCCTGTTCTCATCCTTCTATCTCGCCCACTTTTTTTTAAAATGTGTTACAGCCACCAAGAGCAGCTCCTTTGCCTGGCATGTGTTGTCATGTTTTCACACATCCCTGGGGCGGGCTCTGTTCCTGCCCCTCTTCTCATTTCAAGGGATGCGAGGGGATCCCCATCTTCTATGCCCATACAGTCCCCAGGGAGCCAGCAAGATGAAGACTAAGCAGAGCAGAGTCTGAATCAAAACCCTGGAGCCAAACACCCAGTCACCAATCCCCAACATCAGAGGAGAGGGGAACAAAATCCAGAACTAGGGGATAAGCAAACTAAGAAACCGTTTAGGGCCCCATGCAGGTCTGGGGGGTTGGTGGCAAAAGGAATCTGATTTATTTACATAAGAATGGCCATACTGGGGCAGACCAAGGGTCCTTCTATACTAATCTGGCCCTGCTTCCAACAGTGGCCAATGCTTGATGTTTAGAGGGAATGAACAGCACAGGCAATCATGCAGCAATCCAGTCCCGCCCTGAGGCCCATTCCCAGCTTCTGGCAAAACTGAGGCTAGGGCCACCCCAGCAGGGGGTTGCAGCCCTGATGATCTTGGCTAGAGGCCATTGCTGGACCTACTGATTACCCCTCCCCCTCTTCTTATTGAAGGTGGACTTTCTAACAAGTGTCTGGGTACTGCTGGGTCTGGCTATGTGTTGGCTTCTGGAAATAACGTAGTTAGTATTGGGGGGTATCCCCGTTTAGGGCCCCCCCTAGCCCCGCCTGTGCCCAGCGCTGCCCCGCCACCCGGCTGCTCCCCGGGCTGGGCGCAGGGCGGCAACCCGGGCGCTGCTCTCCGCCCAGCTCACCTGCGTCGTAGAAGGCGTCCAGCACCGCCGTCTCCCCAAAGTCCAGCTCCCCGAAGTTGACCGTGGTGAGCTGGGCTCCCTGCGCCTCGCAGGCTCGCACCAGGCACTGCAGCGCCCCGGCCTCCGGGCTCCGCGCCCCGGCCCCGGCTTTCGGGCTGTCGTTCAGCACATACACGGCCCGCAGGGAGCGCTGCCGCGGGGCGGGGACGCCGCCCTCCGCTCCCGGCCCCGCCGCCTCCGCGCCCGCCTCGGCCCCGGGCTGCTGCTCCGCTTCCCCGCTGAGGAAATGCTGCTGCTGCTGCTCCGCCGCGGCGCCCCCGCTGCCCTCCATGGCGCCCGCCCGCCGCCCCGCGCTACATGGGGGCGCTGCCGCCTGCCTCTGGCCCCGGGAGGGTGACGGCGGCGGGAGCGGGGGGCTCCCAAGCAGGTGCGGGGGGGGCTCAGCCCGAGCCCGGCTGCGGGGCAGGAGTTGGGGAAACTTCTCCGCAGAGCGGCCGCCCCGGCAGCGGCGCTCAGTCGTCACGCGGGGGCAGGGAGCAGCGGCGCTGCGGCCACGCCTGTGACAGGGGGAAGCTGGAGCTGCCCTCGGCTCCGCTGAGCGCCCCGAGCCCTCGGCGCCGCCCGCTGCCCGCGCTGGGGAGAAGTCGGCTCCCTGCTGCTCCCTCCCCGGGCGAAGGCTGCAGCTTCAGACCGCACAGGGGGTCAAACAGCTGGGAGCGGGGGCGGGGCCCAGGGGCAGTGCTAGAGCCGGGGGAGGAGCCGCGGTTGAGAGCGGGGTCTGGGCGCTGCCGGGCGGGGGGCAGCGGAGAAGCCGGCTGGGATTGGGGGGGACCCCACACCGGGACGCTGCAGACAGTGGTTGCAAAAACAGGGGGTGGAGACGGGGGGCTTTTTGCCCCATCTCAGCCCCCGCTCCCCAGGGCGGCGCCGCAAACTCTGGGCCCGTCCCAGCGCCCAGACCAGGCTGCTCCCCCCGGCGTGCGGAGCCGCGACTTGGGGCAACATTTCACATGCAGCCCCCGGCTCGCTAATGGCCAGACGCGAGTTTAGAGACTCCCGGTCCCGTGTCCGCAGCGCCTCCGAGCGGTTCCCCGACGTGCCCGAGCGGCGGTTCTCAGCGCCGGACCCGGCCTGGCTCCTGGGAGCCCCCGGCAACGCAGCTTCGCTCCCTTAAATGATTTACCCCTTCACGTGTGATTGTCATTACCCGGAGCACTTCAGCATTTCCCAGCCTTACCCTTGTGCAGGTGGGCGGCGTGTGCCCTTTAACTGACATTTTAATAGCAAATAATCACTGAAACTATTAATAGTTAGAAGAGCTTCAGCAATCACAGCCCCGTGTAGCGCTTCCTGCGTGTATGGCAACATTTGTTTCTAATTCTACATGTTTGCTCTTTTTTCATTTTTGTAATACACAAGTTTATTCTTTGGGATCATGTGACCTTAAGGATGGCTGATTTCCTGCTTTGGTGTCAAAAACTTTTTAAGTTTCCTTGATCTGCCAATGGGGCTTGCCTTTGGCAAGTGGTTTCTGCTCTATTCAATACCACAGTGGTATTTCACATGTTGCCACTTGTGTGTAGAACTTGGTTCCTAAATATTCACCACAGGCCAGATTTTTAAAGGGTGAAACCACCTAGATGCTTTTGAAAATCCCAATAGTTGCCTAATACTTTTAAAAATCTGGCCCAAAGGACACTATACCATCTTGGTATGAAATCCTTCTGAAAGGTAAACGTCTACTGTCGATTTTATATAATATAGGCATACAACCCAGAGATAGGTTGGCAACAAGTGTTCAAACATCATGTGATTTACATCCCAAAGTCATGACATTAAAATAAATACATACATTTGGGGTTCTTTTAATTTGCCTTTTTGTTTCTGAGCCTTTAGGGCATATTAGCTTCATACTTTTGCTGTTACCTCTCACATTGAAAACTTATTTCTGTAATTCCCCATCTTGCAAGCACTGAAGTGCTTCTATTACTTTGTTAGTTGCTTACATAAATGTTGATTTTTTTCTACTGAGTTGTTTATTCGTCTAGTTGAATATTTTAATTTCATAGCCTTTTATGTATGCTACATATTTTGTTATGATACATTTCAGTGATTTTTTCATTCTGAGAGGTTTACTGTTTTGCACTGCCAACATCAAGGATTTTTTTAAATTAATTATCCTGTCACTCCTTTGAATTGGTTCCCTTTTGACAAAATAAAGTGCCATGTCTCCACTGTTTTCTGAGGGAGATAGCTAATGCATGCTAGTTGTCCCACAATAAAAACACACGTTTTCTTAATGCTAAGGACACAGACTGTAATGCTGACTCAGATGTCACATTAAGCATTATCATTCAGAGCTTTACAACTCTGGTACTGATTGTGTGCCTAACACTGCTCCTTCACCATCAGAGGTATGTGTGTCTGCGTGCCTACAGCCCCCCATTTGTGTGGGTGCCATGGAAAACCAGTTAATGCATTTTAAACTAAAGGAATTAACAGAGGCTTTCCCAGCCCACCCCCTCAATTTCCCTTATTCCCTTCCCTTATTAAGGGCATGTCTATATGTTGGGACACTAAAGGTGTGAAGTTACAATACATACATTACAGCACCTTAAACCCCTGCATGCACACTCTCGTTCAGAAGTAAAGTTGACCTTAGTTTAGACATTAACAACAAGGAGTCTGGTGGCACCTTAAAGACTAACAGATATATTTGGGCATAAGCTTTCGTGAGTAAAAACCTCACTTCTTCGGATGAGGTTTTTACTCACG